GGGTGTTGGCGCGGAGGCTATTGCTGTCGGTCCTGGAGGCGGTCCTGCTGGGGGTACTACTGGTGCTGCTGGGGGTTCTGGAGCTGGAGCTGCTACTGGCGCTGGTGCTGCCACTGGGGGTGCTGGTGCTGTCCCTCCTGTGTCTGGAGTCGCCGCGCGGCCTCGGCCGTACTTCGTTCCGCTCCTTCAGCAGGTTCTTGGTCTCCCGCCTTCTACTGGTCCTCCTCCTCCCTTAGAGTGTCCACAGCCTGTCCCGTCGCAGTTACAGTTACAGCTGGCCTCCCCACTGCCTGCTCCGTCTCCCTACACTGGTCCTACTGGAGGTCTTGCTGAGCGTCGTGAGCCTGCGTCTCGCCCTGCGTCGCCTGTCCGTGCTGCTCGCACTAGTGGTCGCGGTTCGCGTCAGCGTCCTCCTCCTGTCCCTGGCACGCACCGGATGTCTCTGCGTCCGTCCACTGCTCCTCTGCGTGCCCCTTTGCCTTCTCCTCCTGAGTCTTCTCTTCCTGCTCTTGCCGACCCGGAGTCGGACTCTCTTCGCGCTGCCAGTCCTACTGTCACGCGTCTCCTTGCTACTGTTGTCACTGACCCTTCCTTTGAGTCCACTGCTGCGTCTGCTCTAGTTGCTGAGCTCGTCGACTTTGCTGCTCGCTGTCGCCTAGACTACGTCGCCAGTCTTGTTGCTGAGTCTGAGTCTGTCTGTCCTCCGTCCGTCGGGGGTGAGTGTGCCCTTGGCACGGACGTCCTTGAGGACAGGCAGGAGGAGTTCCAGTGCTTGGCCGCTGCTTCACCTCATCTCGTGTCCGTACTGCTTACCCCTGAGGGAGACCCGGATGCACTTGACATCCCGACTCCGCGCTCTTATGCGGAGGCGATAGAGGGTCCCTACTCCTCTCAGTGGCAGGCAGCTATGGACGCAGAGATGGCTTCCTGGAAGTCCACAGGCACCTACGTTGACGCTGTTCCCCCTCCTGGGGCGAACATCGTCAGTGGCATGTGGATTTTCAGGGTGAAGCGACCGCCGGGTTCTCCGCCTGTCTTCAAAGCGCGTTACGTGGCTCGTGGCTTCAGTCAGCGGCAGGGAGTTGACTACTTTCAGACCTTCTCTCCCACCCCGAAGATGACCACTCTTCGGGTACTGCTGCACGTAGCTGCTCACCGTGACTACGAGCTACACTCTCTTGACTTCAGCACTGCTTTCTTGCAGGGCAGCCTGCACGAGGAGATCTGGCTGCGTCGCCCACCTGGCTTCACTGGGTCTTTTCCTCCTGGCACCCAGTGGAGCCTACGGCGGCCAGTCTACGGTCTCCGCCAGGCACCGCGTGAGTGGCACGACACACTGAGGACTACACTTGCGGCTCTTGGGTTTGCTCCCTCTACTGCCGACCCGTCGCTGTTTCTGCGCACCGACACTTCTTTGCCGCCGTTCTACATCCTCGTGTACGTCGACGACTTGGTCTTTGCCACAGCTGACACTGCAGGACTAGCCCACGTGAAGTCCGAGCTGCAGAAGAGACACACGTGCACTGACCTGGGTGAACTGCGTAGCTACCTTGGCTTGCAGATCACTCGGGACAGAGCACGCCGCACCATTACCCTGACTCAGTCACACATGGTGCAGCAGGTCCTTCAGCGCTTCGGCTTCACGTACTCCTCGCCTCAGGCCACTCCTCTGCCTACTCGCCACTCGCTCTCAGCTCTGCCTTCGGATGAGTCCGTAGAGTCGAGTGGCCCGTACCCAGAGCTTGTTGGCTGCCTCATGTACCTGATGACCTGCACACGACCTGACCTTGCATACCCTCTTAGCATTCTTGCACGCTATGTTGCTCCTGGGAGACACAGACCGGAGCACATGGCTGCAGCGAAGAGGGTGTTGCGCTACTTGTGCAGTACGTCGGGCATGGGGCTTGTGCTTGGAGGGCAGAGTCCAGTGGTCCTTACTGGGCACGCAGACGCTTCTTGGGCTGACGACCAGGCTACGCAGCGGTCGTCACAGGGTTACACCTTCAGCCTTGGTTCCGGCTCTGTTTCGTGGCGGGCTACTCGCTCGTCTTCTGTTCTCGGCTCCAGTTGTGAGGCTGAGATCTACGCAGGAGCCATGGCTGCACAGGAGCTTCGCTGGCTCACCTACCTGCTGACTGACCTCGGAGAGTTGCCTCGTTCTCCTCCAGTGCTGTACGTAGACAACAAGGCCATGCTGGCCTTGTGTCGGGAGCAGCGACTGGAGCACAGAACGAAGCACATTGCTCTCCGCTACTTTCTTGCTCGTGAGCTGCAGCAGCGTGGTCAGCTGCGTCTTGCGTACGTGGCCTCTGAGGCCAACACTGCTGATATCTTCACCAAGGCACTTGCGCCTTGTGACCATCAGCGCTTCTGTACTCAGCTGGGCCTTGTGCCTACCTTGCCTCACTTGCTCACCTCTTGACCTTGCTTGTACTGTTACATATATATATACCTGCTCTTGCTTGTCTAGCCTTTTTATATATATGTGTACTCCTGCTTGTGAACTGGCCTTGTGGCCTTGAACTTGTGCTCGGAATGTGTGGTGACTTTGTGATCCACCCTGAGCTTGCTTTGCTTTGCTTTGCTTGACTGGTCTTGTGACCCCTTGTTCTCCCCCACTTTGCCTATGGGGGTGTGTCAGAACATTATAGCTCATGCATATTGTGTAGGCTATAGTGGGGTGCTCCATAAGGGGTACAACCCAATTAGGGTTAGTACTTGTACCCAATTCATTCATAGTTCATTCATTCCTCATTTCTTCTCACGGGGAGCCGAACCAAGTCTGTCAGCTGCTGAAATCGCTCTACGGGATCAAGCAAGCTCCGCGGCTATGGCAGCAGTACCTGCACGCCCGCCTCATTCGCATCGGCTTCAAGCAATTACCTCACGATCAGGGGATGTACCGACTCACGAAAGGCGCAGATTACATCCTACTAATCGTCTACGTAGACGATCTCCTCTACATCGGCTCAACCGACAGCGTCACCACCTGGTTCGAAGGGGAGCTGCAGCAGGATCTAACACTGACAGTCTCATCTACCGTTACACAGTACCTCGGGCTCAACATCCGGGAAGAGGAAGACGCCATCTACCTCAGCGCCGCGAAATACACCGACACCATCGCCAAGCGTTTCGCACTCACACCAACAATAATCTCTACACCGTACCGCTACACGTCAGGAAACAACAAGGAAGGCTCCGCTCTACTCAAGCCCGCCGGCATACGCGACTACCAGAGAAAGCTGGGCTGCCTTCTCTTCGCAGCTGTCACCTGCCGCCCAGACCTATCGTACTCTGCAAGCCAACTCGCCACCTACCTCAAGAGGCCCGAAGCGGAACATCTAGCAGAACTCGACCGCGCCCTTCATTACCTTATTAGCACCCCGACGATCGGTCTAACTTACTACAAGAACGCAACCACGCCGCCTAAGTTAATCGGCTACGTCGACGCCGATCACGCTGGCGATTCCGACAACAGGCGTTCTCGCACTGGCTACATCTACCGCCTCGAACCTATCGGACCTATCTCTTGGCAGTCGAGCAAGCAGGAATTAATAGCTCTCTCGTCAGCTGAAGCAGAATATATTGCACTCTGTTCAGCCACCAAGGAAGGACTTTACCTTCGCGAACTGCTGGAAGAAGCGAAGCTGGCTCAGTTACCCAGCTTCACTCTGTTCTGCGACAACCAGTCGGCAATTCGCATCGCCAACAAGAACGGCTTCGCGAACAGGACGAAACACATCGCCCTGCGATATTTCTTCGTGAAGGACGAGATCGAGAAAGGAAGGCTCGAGCTGTCATACTGTCCCACGTCCGAGATGGCAGCTGACTACCTGACCAAGAAGCTCGGAAAGCAGAAGTTCGAATACTGCATGCTGCTAACTGGACAGAGCCACGTCAGCGACACTCCAGAAGCGAAGGGGAGTGTTGGAAACAACCGGTCTTAAGCGCCTCTGTCGTGTCGAAACACCAAGGCACAAGCGAAGCAAAGCATATCGAGGCACCAGCGAGTCAACCCTCGGAGGTTGAAGTAACTGCTGGAGGTTACGCGAAAGTCAAAGGTCAGCGACCTTTGACCTGACAAATACAGCGCGACAGCAAGGACACACAACTGACTCGCTACAGAGCAGTTGCCCGAGTCGTCATTGTATCGAACCGCAACAGCAACAGTAAAAGTAGTTACAACCGTACCTCTTCGTATTCCTTGTACTCTTATATATAATCTTGTACCGTATCTCTTTGTTTTAATTAACTTACTTTGCCCTCACATACTAGCGCAAGGTGGTTCACAATCTCTTCACTAAACGCTTTCGCTATTACAGTCCTACCCAGAGTTCATCCCTGTAAAAGATCCTAAGGGCTTTCTCAGCCCAACAGATGGACGCGACGGGCACTCCAACAAAACAATAGACAACAAGAATGAGATTAAATACCACAAAGAGTTATGGTATATATCAATCATCATGTCCAGTTACAGTACGTTACATGTTCTCGAACGACAGCACCTTGCAATGGCGTGAGAAATGCCTCTAGTTTGCCGAAGGCAGTCTGGCAAACCTGGGAAAATCAGCAAGCAATGTTCTAATAATTTCGGTTAGCAGTCTCACAATCCCATCTATCTTAGGCTCTGGATTGACTTCTATTACATCTTCCCCTTCTTGGTCCACCACAGGCTGAATCTGATTATTTATTGCTGTCACTAGCTGCTGCATTCCCTGTGCTGGCACTCTGTCGATTTCTGTCATGCAGTCATGCAGAACCTGAGGGGCACATGAAGCGAACAGGGCACGGATACAAAATTTCAATCAAACGCATGTTGCTATCCCCCCTCCCCAAGCAGCCATGCCACTTCTAAATGCAGCTGAGTTGACATCACTGCAAGAAGAAGCAACACAGCATGGAATCGCCAACAAGTGTGGTGGAAAGGAAACCCTTGAGATGGGGCCATAAAATATGAAGCAGCACTTACATAACTTGCCTGAACGGAATTCATGACTTGCCTGCAGAGAAATATCGCGGGCTTCCATCAGTTGTAGGCGCAGCTTCCCCCTGTGCTCCTGCGCATTTCTCAGCTGCTGCCGCAACCCGTTGCGCTGCTGCGTCATCTGCCAAGATTGAAAAATCAGCAAACGTCACTAGAGGTTGCGTGCTGAAGGAAAGAACGAGATCAGAAGTTGGCATTCCATATAAAATGACAAAAATTATATCAGCATCTAAGTTCGCAACAAGGTGTGCGTGCTCCCAGCTCCCATACATGCATCCCATGTCTACAACTCATTCACAGAATCTTCCACCCTACCCGATCCAGCTCTGTCCTCAAATCCTGCACCAGATTTTCCCGCAGCCCAGCTTCTTGAACCTTTTTTTCCAGAGACACGATCTCCTGCCGGAGTCTTGCCACCATAACCTGTGACTCTAGTGCTTCCTGCTCAAACCACTCGAGGCATTTCACCCTTGCTTCCAGGTGTCTTACTTCGCTTGCTCTCGCTACCAAATTCTCAATGTCCTCCTTCAAACCTCGCACTGTCGATCTTAGATTATCTGCTTCCTTCGCCTTTGCCTCCAGCATCTCATACTTTCTAACCCTACCATCCAGTTTCTCATACTCTTTAACCCTATTCTCCAGCTTTTCATGCTCACTTGCAATACTATCCAGTTTCCCATTCCCTCTGAATTTACTCTCCATTCTCTCGTACTCCCTAACCCTGCTTTCCAGCTGCTCACAATCTCTAACCTTACTCCCCAACATCTCGTTCTCTCTTTCATACTCTTTAACCCTACTCTCCAACTGCTCATAATCTCTAATCCTGCTCTCCAATTTCTCATTTTCTATCTCATACACTTTAACCCTACCCTCATACTCTCTAACCCTACTCTCCAATTGCTCATAGTCTCTAACCCTGCTCGCTAAATTCTCATACTCCCTAAGTTTACTCATATACTCTCCCAGCATAACCTCATACTCGCTAAGCCTACTCACCAGTTGCTCATGCTCTCTCAGTCTAGCTTCCATAGGTTCAAACCCCTTCATCCGGGTGACCAACTCAAGATTTACTGCACGCAGGGAACTCAACGTTTCATGCAATACCATAACTTCAATCTCCTGACCCCGCAGCTTGTGCAGTGCTTGTTCCAACAGCTGACTTAACTCTGTTAGTAAGAGAAGCGTAGAAACAAAGAAGGTGAAAAATCTGGTGATGTTGAGTTCACTCAGGATAACATTCGTTCAGAAAACAGCACTAACGAGAAGGGAAATATTTGCAAGGCTTGTACTCGCATAGCACTGTAACATTAACAACTTCGCCGAACAACAAGATTTGTTGAAGTACTTCATGATGAAAAACACAAGATCCACAATAGAAAGAAAAGGGACCAGAAAATGGGAACAAAGAAGAAGGAAAAAGTTTCTGGAAACATTTTTCTTTCTTATCCGTGTACTCCACCCCTCCATCCGTGTAATCTAAATAATAACTTATTTTCCAGTATGATGAGCAACCGTTTTCATCCCACTCCTCCACTCATATTTCTCCTCGTCCGTCCACTCACCATCCTCTGCCTGCTTCCTGCTGTGCTGGCAGTGCTTAAGTTTCACCTCGAAAGCGCCCAAGTCGTCGTAGCTCGCTGCCATGGCCGTTCCAATCTGCAGCGACAGCAAGGGATGGGAAGAAAATGGACATCATGGCATGTCTGACGCTGACAATGAATTTTTAGTCGTCGCTTTGCATTGCCAGCTTTGCTTGCCACCTGACAACAAATCGTACACACAGCACCTTCCGTGCCTGTAGGTAGTACATAATTCAGTACCTATTTAAGCCGATTTTCCGTGAGTGAAAGGGACTGCTTGGGTGACGAATCCCAACGATACCAAATCAGAGTTCCTAACGCAAGTGCGTAAGTGAAGCACTGACTAAAACTCGTACTGATCTAGGATGAACCTCGGGAACCTAGAACACATCCTTCGTCAGGAAGTGGGCCGAGGGGGTGATTGATCGGCCTCCTCAAAGAACATGCCTTATATCTGGTTACAAGGCATGGCGAGAGAAGTTGAGTGAAGGCGATGAGGTGGATAGTAGCGTGGTCAACGGAACCCGCGAGCCGAGAAAAACATTACACGAGTCTCACAAAGGACTCGCGACGTTCGGTACATCGATCGTAACCGGAGGAAGGACGAGCGAGTAACAAGGAACGACGATGATGGAACAACGGGAAGGAGATGCCGCGGGGAGGGGCAGAAATGTGCTGAGACAAACGACACGCGCTCGCTGTGCGCATGAACGCAGAGTGACCCAGAAAGCCAGAAGGCGAATCCTTTCTGACTGACCTGAGATGTGTGAATTTGGTTGGCGGAGGAATTTGCCAGAGCGAACTCATGCTCCTGATCTGATTTCGGCTTGTTCATGTCGCGCTGGCTGGCGGTGATGTTTTCGGGGCTGGGCGAGTTCGGAAAGCTGTGCTGCAGTATAGCACACTCGCTTTCACTTGTGTGCACATCCTGATTTTGCTCGTCTAGGTTGTCAGTAAAGAATGTTGACAATGCGTGTTACCCTGAGAACCAGAGAAATGTGTGATGCTAAATGGATGTGACAGTGCAGGCAGATGGATCTGGAATACATCCCTGCATGCCCCGACAATATAAGCATACAACGCGCACATTTAATACATTGAAAAGAGCATGGTAGTAACACATAAGAATTTATCCCTGATGATCCATGGCAATCAGGGCCCAAAATTGGTTTAGGCCTACCCTTACAAATCAGGGTTCCAGCCCCTCCTGAACCAGACCCCTAGGGTGAAAATTTCCGTACCCTGTTTGCAGCAGGGTAAATCAACCACTAGCCTGATTTGAGCAGGGTAGTTTTAGGCTATGCCTGTTTATGTTTCTGTTTTGAGAGTTAAGTTATATTTATTGGCATAAACAAGTAGCACATTCAGAGTCCATGAAGTATACACAAGCAACACATGCACTGCACAACACACCTCCCCGATGCCACCCCCACTGCCTACATCTTCTTCTACAATTGGGTCTGCGAAGCTCTGTTGGGGTCAAACCTTCGCCTCAACGTGTTGACAATGGCGAGATTCAAGAATGTGTTGGCAGACCTGCGCGTGGTCACAAGCGACAACGGGTGTTAAGGGGGGTGTTGTACGTTTTGTCACCACGCGGACTATGGTCTGTTTCGCGTTAGAAAAGTTTCGGTAAAAGGGTAGTGTACACCAAACCCTGATTACGGCAGGGTAACCTAAAAACCTATCAGGGTAAAATAAAACATGCTCTTTTAAGAGAAGGGTAACTATTGTGCAATCCTGATTTTGGCAGGGTAATCCTGAAAAAGCGGCCGGCCCCCAGGGTAATCAGGGCGTTTTACCCTGATATTTTGGGCCCTGATGGCAATATCTAGTGACTATCGTTGAATATCACCAAGTCACAAGAAAGGCTCGCCGCAGTCTGAGGCAATCAGTCAGTCGGGCAGATGCAGACTCGCCATCCGAGGAGCTGCAGCAAGCAGCGTCCTGATGGTCTCAACTACTAGTTTCACATTTTCCTTTATATTGGGGTCTGAGTCGACTACCACCAAGTCCTCCCCTTCCTGCTCCACCTCTGGCTGAATGTGAGCTTTGATTGGGCTCACCAGCTGAGGTACCCCCACTGCTGGCACTTGGTTGAGCTCTGCCATGCAGCCGCGCAGCACCTGCGGGGTATGCAGGAAAACAATGAGACATGGATATCAATGTACAGGCATACGCACTTTAATACCTCCTCTAACCCCCCCTGCCCTCCCCCCCTTCTCCCTTAACAGCAGCCATGCAGAACCCGGGGAGCACAGAAAAGTACATTGAATGCAGTTAACACACTAACTTGCATTGTTGCAGACAGATGCAACTCAGCATAGAATCACAAACCATGGTGCTGGCAAGGAGAGTCTGAAGTGAGGTTAGGGGAGTTGGATAGCGGTATTTTTTCACTTGCCTGAAGAGTCATGTCTCGGGCTTCCATCATTTGTTGCTGCAGCCTCCCCCTGTGCTCCTGGGTGTTCCTCAGCTGCTGGCAATACCTGTTCCGTTGCTGCGTCATCTGCAAAAAATAAATCAAAACAGTTTCCTCATGGATGGTTGCTTGTTCAAGGACGAAAAACCAACATAACAAAGATATTTTTTTCAAAGAGAGAAAATTATTCATGCAACAGGGGCGTGCTGCAAGCATGCCCCCATATGCGGATGCTCCGTAAGTGTATCTCGCACATGCAAGTGCGCACACATTTGCATTCTCACACGCGTGTATGAGCTTGTGCACATGCTCGCATTGATCCCCCCACTGTACCTCCTCCAGGTCTTTCTTCAGATTGCTGACCAGCATCTCCGAAGGCCCAGGTTCCCGAATCCTTTCCTCCAGATACCCTATCTCCTGCTTAAGTCTCGCCACCAAAGCCTGTAACTCTCTCACGCTCCCTTTCAAGCTGGCTGATTCGTTCGCCGCTGCCTCAAGTTTCTCAGCTTTATACTTCCACATCCTCATTTTCGCTTCCCAGTGGTCCGAATCTTTCCTCGATGCCTCCAGTTTCTCATGCAGTCGTAGATACCTACTCTCAAGTTTCTCATACTCCTGAACCCTCTCCAGTTTCTCATACTCCCTAACCCTCTTCTCTAGTTTCTCATAATCCCTGACCCTAATGTCCAGTTTCTCGTACTCTTTGACCCTACTCTCCTCCATTTTCTCATACTCCCTAACCCTCTTCTCCATTTTCTCAAACTCCCTAACCCTCTTCTCCATTTTCTCATACTCCCTAACCCTCTCCTCCATTTTCTCATACTCCCTAACCCTCTCCTCCATTTTCTCATACTCCCTAACCCTCTCCTCCATTTTCTCATACTCCCTAACCCTCTCCTCCATTTTCTCATACTCCCTAACCCTCTCCTCCATTTTCTCATACTCCCTAACCCTAATCTCCAGTTTCTCATACTCCCTAACCCTAATCTCCAGTTTTTCAAAATCCCTGACCCTAATCTCGAGTTTCTCATACTCTTTGACCCTACTCTCCTCCAGCTTCTCATACTCCCTAACCCTTCTCTCCAGTTGCTCATGCTCACTCAGCCTAGCTTCCATGAGCTCAAACCCCTTCATCCGGGCGACCAGCTCGATATTTATAGCACGCAGGGCAGCCAATGTCTCACGCAGCAACCCAACTTCAGTTGACTGGTTGCGCAGCTCGAGCAGGGCTTGTTCCACAACCTGTGTTAACTCTGTTGTGGGAGGCGTGGACAGATAACCACAGAGTGGTTAATTACTTCGGTGAAGTTGAGGTTAATCGTGATATGATATGGATGGGTAAAAAAAACAGCACCAAAATGAGGCACGATAATAGCGAAGGTTTTCCTGTATGGAGTCGGATTTTCAGCATTTCCTGCTGTAACCGAAACATATGCTCCTAGACGAAATTCGCACTTAAACCACATCTGGCACCAATGAAAGATCTGAAGTAAGTATTTCAGAATTAAACGCACATAAGTGCCACAAAGTGGACAATAGAATGAGTAGACAACATGCCCCCCAAAAGTAAAAGGAAGAGAAAAAATAGAGAGTAAAACAAACAAAATTCCTAGCCTTAGTTCACCAGATTCGAGGATAAAAAACAATTGCTTTCATCCCACTCCTCCACCCATATTTCCCCTCGTCTGTTTACTCACCATCGTCTGCCTGATTCTTGCTCTGCTGGCAGTTCTTCAGTTTCACCTCAAGAATCACCAAATCGTCGTTGCTTGCTGCCATGGCTGCTTTAAGCAGCAATCACAATGAGGAACGAGAGGGAACAGAAGAGGAAGAGCAGGAGGAGGAGCATGAGAAGGAGGAAGAGGAGGAGGAGAGAATGAAAGCAATGGGAGATTACGCTGTAATATGTTGATTAGACTCTAGAGGGAACGCATCCGGTGATACAAGTTACGTGCTGTTGTTTATTTAGTTTCCAACATCGACGTACCTATGGTGAAAAGGACTTGCTGCTCTGGAATGAGAAGCAGGCACGTCCTTGGAATGATAGCGTTGAAGTGATCCTCGCAAATGGGCCCAGAACTGTAGGAAGATGTGGCACTGGTTACGAGATCTGAGAGCACGACAACTCGATTTTGCGAAGAATTGTAACAGCAGCACGACGGACTCACGTTATCTGAGTCCAGAAAGAGAGAAAATCACGAACAATCGAGGGAATAGATTCTCGAGGGGGGGGGGGGAATAATCGCTGAAAGCGATTCCCCTGGTCTGAAGGGCAGAAATTGTATGATTCGTCTAGAAGCGAATCTATCCGCTCGTCGACTCGTCTGATTGTTTCGGACTTCGTATTGACCTCCTCGAACCTAAATCTACGGCCCAAAAGCCGCCAGTTCTTGACCCCAGAGAATGGCGGAAGGCTGTGCGAGGTTGGTGGAAGGCGCGCCGTGGGGCGATTGGCCCTAAGGCGCAACGCATGGCAGCTGACACGTTGATCAGCGTCGACAGCAGTGCCTGACGACTTCTAGGGTATGCTGACTCGTGTCTGCTATAGATGCTGTCTGAATTTGGAAGATGAATCTTCGCATATTGTTCTGGTTTGAGCTCGTTGAGCTGTTGCTGATTTCGAGGTGCACCAAATGAAATTCATAGTCGAACCAGAGCTGGAAATGTACGGTTCACAACGCGAAAAAATCTGGTTCGCAAGACAGCCCAACCGAGGTTCGGGTATTTGCGAATCCCTTTGCTCGCGCGAACGCCCTCACGACATGTTTGGTTTTTTCCGACTACTCTGCCGATCACTGTTTCCATTTCCGTTACGGGGACAGATCTGAGATCCCTAGTGATGAGAATTTTCCTTTTTTTCAGGACTTACTACCATGGCGAGTAGTAATAGTGCTTCGCCGCGAACGTAGCGGCGCCATCGCAGTCCAGCCTTTGTGGTTTCTTGCAGCCGCGAGAAGAGGTCCGAAAGCATGAAAGAGCGCCGATTACGATTGTAGTTATTTCCCCGGACAACAATTCTCTACTTGCCAAACGGACGCCATTTTCTCCTGCGCAGTCTCTGATGACTCTCACTGACGAGTCGCGCTGGTGACGACAACGTGAATCGTAAACTACCACAGTGGCAGAGCGCGAGAGTTACTCAGGGCTCATATCCTCATTCTCGCCCCCTTTCCCCCTCCTCCCTTCCCCCTTACCCCTTCCTTCCTCTTTTACCGTCGTCTGTTCTCCCACCCTCCCGCACCTCCGTTCCATCTCTCCCGCAATCCCCCCTCGGCTCACCCTCCCAATGCCGCCCTCTCCTCTCCTCCCCCGACAAACCGCCCTTTCACTCTTCACCGCCCCCTCGTACCGATTTGCACATCGCTCTTCCCTCTCCTGTAATTCCTCTTCCCACCGCTCACTATTTTTTTCCCCCTTTGGTGAACCCTCTCTCCTCAGTGCCAGGTGACCACCCTGTTCGCGCCTCCCTGTGTCCTGTTCTCTCCTCCCTGTGTCCTGTCTTCTCCTCTCAGTGTCCTCTCCTCTCCCCCCTGTGTCCTCTCCTCTCCCCCCTGTGTCCTCTCCTCTCCTCCTGTGCCCTGTTCTCACCTCCCCGTGTCCTGTTCTCTCCTCCCCGTGTCCTGTTCTCTCCTCCCCGTGTCCTGTTCTCTGCTCCCTGTGTCCTGTCTTCTCCTCTCAGTGTCCTCTCCTCTCCCCCCTGTGTCCTCTCCTCTCCCCCCTGTGTCCTCTCCTCTCCTCCTGTGTCCTGTTCTCACCTCCCCGTGTCCTGTTCTCACCTCCCCGTGTCCTGTTCTCTCCTCCCTGTGCCCTGTCCGCTCCTCCCTCCGCCTCACTCTCGGAACCCCCTTGTTCACCTCTCTCCCCCAGGCCCGCTCACTCTCTTACCCCCTGTTCCCGCTGTTAGAGGGCCCTACGACAGCAAGGGCCCTCGACGACTGTTTGACTTGGCAGATCGGTGAGTGACGACTTAGTCTACTCGGCACCGACGCATGAGTTCGGTGGCGGTCACGCGTGACTATGGGTGACTACGAACTGCAGTGACGAATTCGGTGAAGTCGGTGCTGGGAAGAGGAGTCGTGGGAGTCATATGTGCCTTCGCTGTGGGGCACGCCACTCCCAAGCTGAGTTGGGTGGAGTGGCGTGCACGGAAGGGCATTCGGTGCTGAGTTGGATAGGGAATTCAGCGGGGCGCGTTCGCCCACCTGCACAGCACTTTCGTGTGGGTTGGGTTACTCGCAGCGCCACGCAACAATTGTGCAACTCTTGCTTGCCTATATATGTTTGTGTTTGCTTGTGTGTTTTATATATTCTATTTTCCTAGTGAAGTCCAAATGCTACTTCAATTCTCACCAAGTCCTTAGAGGCAAACGCTACCGAAACTCTACCAAGTTGCTGGCGCAACATCATTCCCATAGCAGAAACTCTCTTGTTATCGCTACGCTCTCTAATATATTCCTTCACCCGCCCCTCGTTCCCCCCTGCTCACTCTCTTTCCCCCTTCGCTCAACCGCTTTTCCCCCCACTCGCTCGCTGTTCCCCTGTGCAGTTGCCAGTGCTCACACACCCTGAATTGCAATTTCAAAGGTATACATTGTTGAAATATATATCTTATACCTGTCTACAGCTTGCTAGTGTATTTGTTAGCTATTAGAATCAACCGTTGGTGGTGCACCCTATCCATTTGCTCTTGCCTACTTGTACTTCCAATTCTATAGTGAACCTACTCTTCTTTGCCAAAACCTCTCGATGCCATCTCCTAGCTTCAAGCCTTCCTCCTAAGCTTATGCCTCCTAAATAGTTACTTTGACATGGTATTAAGAGCTGGGTCCTTCTAAGGACCTCCCTATCATTTTTCATTCGCCATGGCTGCTGCCATGGCGACCATCGCAGCGCCCTTCGAGGCGCTCGTCCGTTGCCTGCCCCGCGCTGCTCGCACCGCGCTACCCGCCCCACGCGCTCGTCGCCCAGTCCCGCGCGCTGACGCGTCGCCCCGCCGCTGGTCGCGGACGCCAGCGCCAGCGCCTCCAACCGTCGCGGACGCCTGCGCGATCGCCAGCGCCGTGCGCCAGCGCCAGCGACTGTCGCAATCGTCAGCGCCAGCGCCTGCGCCGGTCACCTGCGCCAGCGCCAGCGACATGCGCCAGCCCCGGACGCGAGCGCCAGCGCCAGCAGCGGCCGTCAGCACCCCCGCCATCGCCACCCCGCTCCCCACTTCCGCACCTGCCGCCTCTCTTTTCTACGGTGGACATTGCGGGGGGGAGGTGACGGGGCTCGCGCCCGCGGCTACGGGGGTGCTTAAGCCCCCTTGAACCCTCCCGCCCCTCCCTACTACTCCTCCTCATCGCTGCCCGTGCATCTCCAGTGCGTGCCGCGTTTGGGGGGGGGGGGGAAGAGGGTGTGGGGGTGGCGGGTATTTGAAGGCAGCCGCCTCCCCTTCTCCTCCTCCTTCCGCTGCACTTCCTATCCTCCTCCTCTCTCCTCTCCTCTCCTCTCTCCTCTCCTCCAGCCGCCTCCTCCTCCGCTTGTTTGCTCCTCCAGCCGATTCTTATCGACTCTCCACCTGTGCGCCACCAACTTCCTCCTCCTATCCAACGGTTGGTGTTAATCACTAGCATCCTACGCCCTCCGGTTATCCCAGCCCTCCTCCGCGCCCTCCGCGCCCTCCTCCGTTCTGGCGTTCACAGGTGCTGCCGGTCAGCCACCGCTGTTTCTGTGCCTATCCCAGCTACAGCAACCGCTCTCCAGGCGACCTGGTGTCAGACACCACTAGTTAAAGCCGTAGACAGTTACGGGGGTGTGTTGAATTATATATCTTATACCTGTCTACAGCTTGCTAGTGTATTTGTTAGCTATTAGAATCAACCGTTGGTGGTGCACCCTATCCATTTGCTCTTGCCTACTTGTACTTCCAATTCTATAGTGAACCTACTCTTCTTTGCCAAAACCTCTCGATGCCATCTCCTAGCTTCAAGCCTTCCTCCTAAGCTTATGCCTCCTAAATAGTTACTTTGACATACATACCCACAGCCCGAAGCTCCCTCTTGTGTGGGTGCTGCAAGCACCTGCACTCAAACTTCTGCTTCGGTTTTGCAGACAAACATTCGGTAACCTGAGGTTCTGGAGCCTCAGTGTTGTAATTCAGGTCGTGGGCTTCCACTCCACAAGACTGGTATTTCACCATGCATTTGTTACTCCAACATAAAGAGCGTATCCTAGATGGATGTGATGGGTCTGGCTGTTGCATGCAGCTTATGATCATTGCAATCAAATAGCACAAGAATTATTATTAATCATAATGTACACTACCAATATGCTGTCACAGATTCTCAAGCAAGGACTCCCTCCAATGCCATGGGAAAGTTCTCTATCTAGTCTCGCAATGGCACAGGCAGTCTGGCCAACTTGGGCAGAGCAGCAAGCAGAGCAGTGTCCTAATGATCTTGATCAGAAGCCGCACAATCTCACATATCTTGGGCTCTGGAGTGACTTCTATGATATCCTCCCTTTCTTTCTCCAACACAGGCTGAATATGATCGTTTATTGCTCGCACCAGCTGCTGCACTCCTTGTGCCGGAACTCTGTCGTTTTTTCTCACGCAGTCACGCAGAACCTGAGGGGCACATGAAGCAAACAAGTCATAAATAGGTTTCCTCAATATAACACACGTTGCTAACCCCTCTCCCCCCCTCCCCCTCCCCACCCCCAACCCCGCCTCCTTCAGCAGGTATGCCACTCCTTAATGCAGCTGAAAAAAAAAAAGACCACTTGAGCATAACTGCAAAGAATGGCAACACAGCATGGAACGGAATCAGGAAATGGGGGCAGGAAAGTTGGAGATGGGGGAAATGGGGATGGGGAGATGGGGGCAGGAAAGTTGGAGAGGTGCTATTATCACTTGCCTGAAGGGAAATATCTTGAGCTTCTATGATTTGTTGACTCAGCCTCCCTCTGTGCTCCTGTGTATTCCTCAGCTGCTGCCGCAGCCCGTTGCGCTGCTGCGTCACCTGCAAAGATTGTTTAAAAGAAAAGAAAAAGACCAGAGTCTCATGCTCCAGGACAATAGATGAGATCACGAGTTGGCTCTTTGTACAGAATAACAACAACCATATGAACATGCAACAAACTGTGCATGCTCCCAGCTCCCACACATGCATGCCTACAGAATCATACACAAATTTTCCCACCCTACCTCATCTAGCTCTCTCCTCAAATCTTGCACCATCTTCTCCAGCGGCCCAGCTTCTTCAACCTTCTTCTCCAGACACACAATCTCCTGCTGAAGTCTGGCCACCACAAAGTATGACCCCCGTACTCCCTGCTCAAACACAAAATGTTACCCTTGCTTCCAGGTGTCTAACTTCCCTTGTTCTCGCTGCCAGATTCTCAATGTCCTCCCTTCGCCTTTGCATCCAGTATCTCATACCTTCTCAAACCCTACTCTCCAGTTTCATATACTCTCTAACCCTATTCTCCAGGTTTCCATACTCTCTAACACTTCTCTCTGGTTTATCATGCTCACTAGCCCTACTCTCCAGTTTCTCGTATTCTTTAAATCTACTATTTACACTCTCGTACTCCCTGACCCTGCTTTCCAGTTGCTCAACATCTTGAACTTGCTCCCCAATTTCTCTGTTTCTCTCTCGTACTCTTTCACCCTACCGTCATACATTCTCTCTAACCCTGCTCTGTAGCTTCTCGTACTTTCAGATTCCACTCACGTACTCTTCCAGCCTAACCTCATACTCGCTTACCCTACTCACCAGGTGAGCATGCTCTCTCAGTCTAGCTTCCATGAGCTCAAACCACCTCATCCGTGTGACCAAATCAGAATTTGCTGCATGCATGGCATTCAAGTTTTCGCGCAAATCCAGAACTTGAATCTGCTGACCCGCAGCTTGTGCAGCGCTTCTTCCAGCAGGTGAGTTAACTCTGTTGAGAAGAGAAGCATGGACGGATAGAAATAAAAAGGGTGAATAATATGGTAATGAAGTGCTCACTCAAAGTAACAATGGTTAAAAAACATCACTGAAGAGGCAAAATAGCTTGTATGCTCGCAGCACTGTGAATTTGATGTTTTGCAGCACTGTTTCTGAGACACTTTGCCTGAACAATGAGGTAGAAAAGAAAGTACTTAGATCGAACAACACTCGGGCTCCAGGTTGATGAGCAACCGCTTTCACCCCACTCACTTAACTTTCTCTTCGTCCGTCCACTGACCATTATCTGGCTGATTCCTGATCCGCAGACAGTGCTTCACTTTCCCCTCGAAAGCATTCAACTCGTAATTGCTCCATGCCATGGCTGCTTCAAGCTGCACGCACAACGAGGAGCGGGGGAGAAAATGAGCACATAGGCAAGTCTGATGCTGAATTTGATTGCATAGTTGTCGTGTTTCACTGGCAGCTTCTAACTGTCGCTTGACATAGTATTACAAGTTCCAGCCAATCGCGGAAAGAATGTACGACCAATCGTACATACAGCATCCCCTTCAGTGCCTCTAGATAAAACATCACTCAGTACCTCCTTCAGTTGATTTGCCGTGCGTGATCTGCTTGAGTAGTGGCCGTGCAGAATGTAAAAACTATCAACACTGGACTATCAGAGTTTTTAACGCAAGTGGGGTGGGTAATGGTGGGTTAAATTCGTGCTGATATAGAATGAG